TTTTAATTAACATTAGCATTTTAGATAAAATATTAACGGTACGGATTAACTTTGAAAACGTTAACTTTCAATTAACATTATGCATTGTTTTAGACAATGCATAACTTTCAATTAACATTAACGGTACGGATTAACTTTGAAAACGTTAACTTTCAAGTAACCTGAGCTTGCATCGCTGGCTTTTGCATCAGTTCAAAACTGATTTAAAAAGATCAAAATAATCGATTTAAAAAATCTTTTTTGTAGTAGTGGTTAACGCTATACACTGTGTGTAGATAGTCTTTTTAAAATTGTAGCACTAACTTCTGATGTTATTTCTAAACGGGCCTTAAAATTGTTCTAAACCTAGCCATTGTTACGAGTAATAAAATGCTAGAATGTGAAATTGGATATCCTGTCTTAGGACTTTTGGTGGGTGCTATGACCAAGTCACATGCAAGACCAACAATAAAAATTTCATTTGATTATTGGTAATTATTGTTTTTTAATTTATATATATATATATATATATATATATGTATATATATATATATATATATATATATATATATATATATATAAAGATATTAGTAATTAAAATATTGTATTGAAAACCATAAAAATTAAATTAAATGCAAAGAAAAATTTAAAAATAGTGACGACAAAAATGGTAAAAGAATTGTTTCACACAACTTTTGACATTAACTTAAAAGTGGATAGCTAAACTTCAAATAAAATAGAACAAATATAAATGGATTTAGCCGACTTTGTCAAACCACTCATTTTATGATGATTCAGAAATTACTTCATATCATACGCCCATGAATGAATGCTTAACGTGGACCGAAGGCCCATAAAAATGGATATATAGAGCTTAACATATTGTTAAGTAATCAAATAATTGATTTACAATAGAGTGCATATAAAAGGTACTCCGTATTTCTAACTCAAATTGAAATCAACTTTACATTAAAATATGACTAATAAATAAACACAACAGCCATAATTAATAATATCATCAGAAAATGATTGATCACTTGAAGCTGATCACTGTGAAACGAGAAGAAGTTTGAAAACAAGGTCCCTAAACTGCGAAGAAAATGCCTTCGTGAGGAGATCGGCAAGCTGACTAGCTAAGAAGAGATGAGAAACAGACATACTTTTAGCAATAACACGTTCTCAAATGAAATGACAATCAGTGCCGACATGTTTCATGCATGTGTTTGTGAAAAACTAGATTCGTGGTGCTAATTATCACCAAAAAGGTGTTGATGAGGCATCTCAACCTTTAAGTTTGTTTACAGATAAGAGAGCCACATTACCTTTGTTGCCACAGAGCAGATAGAGAGGTTGGTACTTTGCCTCCATGTATGGTTTGCAGACGAGACTATTTTCTCAAATTCCATGAGATAAAATTAGGACCAAGCTAAACGAGGTAGCCGGGTAGTAATCTAGCATCCATCTATAATAATGTCATTTCTCCAATCGGAGTTTGAATAGACGTGAACTCGTGAAGTGCGAGAGAGCCTGACTGAAAAACCGGTCTATGGTCATTGGTACCCTAAATGTACCACAAAATCTGCTTGAGAGAGTGAAAATTGATCTTGTTCGGTGGGTGTATACATGTGCTGGGAAACATGATTCGCAGCAAACTAAATATGAGGTCTAGTGTTGGTAAGATACTAAAGACCACCCACAATACTGTGAAAAAGGTAGAATTTCTAAAAGGCATAGTAGCCTTGTCACCGGCAGTAGACTATATAGACATGGGGGTTGGCGATAGTTTGTAGTCGTCCGTGCCATCTTTGTGTAAGAGCTCTCGTGTGCATATTTTTCCAAACAAGGAACCAAACAATTTCTTGTATATTTGACCTCATGTATTAGAAAATAATGAAGATCAAGGGCCCAAAAATATGGAATTATGGTGACAATGAAGCGGTTGATGAGCGTATGTAGAAGTGCTAATGTGACAATAATATCATTAATCCTGTTTCAAGCCATAAAGTGATTTCTTTAACTTGCACACATGATGAAGGAATTATTGATTTATGTAACCAGGAGGAGGCTGCTGCATATAAATTATCTTAGAACCTCGCCATGAAGAAAAATATTACTAACATCTAGTTGATTTAATGTCTATTTATGATTAAAAACTAAAGATAAAACAAATCGAATGTATAATTTGTTGTTTGAAAAAATGAGTACAAGTTTCTGAATAGTCTAACTTATACTCTTGATATATCCCTTGGCAACCAAGCATGCCTTATTCATGGAAACAATACGATCTGCATTACATTTTATTTTATAAATTCACTAACAACTAATACGAACCTCATCTAAAGGTGATAGAACAAGTACTCATGTATTTTAATTTTACCCTCGAAATAAGTTTGGATTTAGAGGTACCACAACGAAAGAAGGTGGTCATGGGATGAATCAGTGGGAGCAGCGATGGTGTATGTGTGGTGGTGAGGATGCTGGGCTAGACGCTTGTGATGACTCGAGATTTTTGTGGACTATGGGAAGACTCCAAAACTAGATTGGGCTATTATGCAGGTGGGAGCTAGGTTACGGAATGAGTGAGTTGCTGAAATTGGGTGGGTGTCTAAAGTGGTTCCAAGAAGATGTCTGGTGGACCCTGGTGGGTGCTAGGTATGAGGATAAAAGTACCAGGTGGGCTCAAATGGGTGCCGGGTTAGCATGGATGTGTGTCAGGTAAGCCGAGATAGGATCTGGGAGGACTCAAGTAGGTGCTAGATGGCTAGCACACGATATGGGTCGGCTAAGATGGGGGCTGGAGGACTCGGGTTGGTGTCAGGCTGATAATTCCTGTGAGCAAGAGAGTATCCTTTAGATGAACTGGTTGGAAAGATAGGCAGAACACTGAGGAATTTAGAGGAAGTAGTCACATGAGACTTTGATAAGGCAAGAGAGGAGTACAAAATCTGATCTTCCTAAAACCTCTACATGGCGTGATACATGAATATGATTGGTGGAGGGATCATTGCATTGGTATCCTTTTTCCTAGGAATCATAGCCAAGAATGATGCAATGTTTGTTATTCAGTTAAAACTTGTTGACAATCTCATGAAGAAGATATGATAAGTTAGACTCCCAAAGACTCATAAGATAGAGTAGTCAATCAGAACGAGTGAGATAGAGAGATTAATAGGGAGACATGGAATTGAGGGAATAATTTGGAATGTAGTTGATCAAAAAATTTGTTATATCTAAGGCTTCTACCCAAAAATTTTGAAGGGACGCGGTGCTAGAAAATGTAAGTGAAGTCTAAAATAAGTAACACTTGAATGTATTAATTGTATATTTGAATTTTGAATGAATATAATGGTAGATATATCCTGACTTAGCTTTGTCGTTTGCAAAGATAATTTATCAAACATTTGAATGAATATATTCTACATCCTAAATGTTAGTCATTATCCCCATACATCCTTCACTAGATGATGCAAATATTCGAATGTAGGCGATGAAATGCACAAGTTCATGCGTAAATCACTTCACGCATTCAAATGTATACTCGATTGGTTGTATTTTTTCACCAACATACATCGACCCAAGTTATGTTTGAGTAATTGGAATATCAATATTCATTTCATATACTAACATCTCATTCATTACGTCCTGGTCCGATGGAGTCAAAATTTCACCATTTTTGGCTTTGGGGTGTGATGGAATAAAAGTTTTACCTAGAGATTTGATAGACGCGAAGAAATTAATTACTTCATCGTCAATCAGTTTGTGACGTTGAAAGCTACAACTCGGCCCCCAGAGAAACCTTTGTCGGAGAGATGAAAGCTCATCCCCGTTCCAGACGCATGTGTGTGCCTCCCCAGACCCTACTCTTGTGGGATTTAACTGGGTTGTTGTTGTTGTTGTAACATCTCATTCATTGAGTCTATCAAATCTTCTTCACATTTCTTTGTACATCGATCATATATAATGCAACTGCGCAACATTTTGTTACCCTCCTGAATTTTAAACATTGGTTAACATTTGTTAGGTAGTAGTCCTAACCATAGTATCACTTGTATTTAGTTAATCTCTAGGACTCCTATTCCTAGTTGTATTTGTATTGTATCTCTATATATACTCTACCATGTACCCTATTGTAATGTGTGAAATACAATTATTCAATTGTGTCAATATGGTATCAAAGCATAGGTTCCAAAACCCTAAAATATCGTTGGCTTCATCGCCACCCCCTTCCCGTTAACTTTTTCCTCTATGCCGTTGTTCTGCTCGGCCTTCTCACTAGAGTAATTGTCTACATCACTAGAGTAATTTTCTCTTGCTTCTATCCTATGCCGCTGATTCTCCATCATGGCAAAAGGTACCCATGATCTGTTTGATGCCTTACCTGGCGGACTAAAGCTCTTTCTTCGCAACCTTCATGCCTTGGTTCCTACCAAATTGGAGGATCACAATTATCCTACCTAGTCATCCACAGTCCGGGCCACGCTTGTTGCTCATCGGTTGTTGGAATTTGTTCATGATACTGCGCAGCCGCCGCCTCCCATAGTTGTTGATGAAAAGGCTCCAGCGGTTGTAGATGGAGTTCCGGTCCTCAAACCCAATCTGGCTTATGAGTAGTGGACTATTCTTGGCGCTCAACTCTGTGCTGCTCTTCTTGCCACACTATCTCCCTCAGTTCATAATCTTGTTCATCTATGCTCTACAACTGCCGCCATCTAGGATCACCTTCATCAACGGTATAATTCTCTTTCTCGCATGAATATCTTTCAACTCAAAGAACAACTTCACAATTTACGTAAGGGAGAATTGTCTATGCAAGCATATCTTGACGAGGCTCTCAAAATTGTCACTACACTTTCGCTTGCACGAGAGCTTGTCCCCGAACAAGATCTTATTCTCAATGTCCTACGTGGTCTTCTGATAGGTCCTCAAATGTTATATTTTATTCCCTCATATTAGCCCTTTTTAGTATATTCCAAATGCATTTTATACACATTTAATCACTATTCTGTTTATATAGCGGTTTAGGCCATTATTTATATTTTATACATAAAATGCATTGTTTTTGGCATTCTTTTTACTCTTTTAAATTTATTATCTTATTTTCCTTGACACAAGTCTTCTAGATATTTCATATTGTCAAAAGATTGTGGAAGATGCCAAGCTTAGATTGCCCGAGGATATAAGCAAGAGGACAATTGGGCGGCCAAATGGTTTGTAAATTGACCCAACCAATTTAAAGAAGTGTTGATCCAAATCACCAAATGATATCAAGTCCAGCAGCTGCCCACGTCTCAAAACATCAACGGAAGAAGTGCATCGCACAAGAGAGTCTTCTTCTCCAATCCAAACACTGCAATTTCAAATATAAAAGGTATCCAAAGCCACAAGAAGGGGGATATACGGAGACGGATAGAGACGAGAGATCAGAGATTGGGAACAGAGGAACCGACCTAGGGTTTCGACCCTAGGTCCGGCCGGCAGTTCGACGACGACGACTAGGCGGATGTCCAGCGATGGTGGCGATGCCAAGGATGGCGCGAGATTGCACTTCGGCCATGGAATCCGGTGGTCTCTATTCTGGCAGCGAACGGATGAAGGAACAATACTCAGGGGAGCAATTTTCTCCTTTTTTATTTCATTCTTTAATTAAGACTTTCCAATTTATAAGTTTCTCAATTTATGAATTTGATTGTCAGTATTAAATATGTTTATTTTCAATTCCATGTTTGTTGAATGTTTAAGTTATATTATAAGTGTTGAATTGTTTGTGTGTTAGTGTTGAATAGTTCAAATATGATTTATTGATTTATTATTGTCTCTGAAATTATAAAATCTTCTTAGCCCAAATTATTTGATAAAAAGATTGAAACTTTGATTTGGTCATTTTTGTTGGATTAATTTGGCTTTGAAGTTTTAACCTTTGTGCTACTGACAAATCTAAACTCGAAAAGGTGTTTGAAAACTGGTCTTTGTTTAAACTTGGATTAGATCAATTTAGGACAGCCGCCTAAACTCTAATTCCAATTGACAGTTTTAAGATCTTGAGTACGCTTATAGCTGAGATTTTTAAAACACAAGTGTCAACTGGTTAATACTTAATTGGCTCCCACCCGGTTTTTATTAATCAGAGTTTTCAAACTGGCTATGTTAAATAGATATAATCTACTGCATAGTTGTTAAGTGATGTTTTCCAAAGAACTTAATGCTCTATTTTTAATTAAATCTGGGGGCAGGTCCTTGGGTTGTTAAGAATAGTAGGGTCTAGAGTTAGGGCAGGTCTTAACATAGGCTATATTAGAGCATCCACAATGGCAACATCTCACATTAGATGCTCAAGTGTGGGCTCCACTATAAAGATGTTATTTTAGCACCCCTCTCAACATCTTATTCTTTCAATGGTAGCATCTAATTTGGATGCCTAAATATCTATTCAATTAATATAGTAGGTCAACTAAAATATATTTATATTTTATTTTTTGTTAATTATAAGTATTTAGTTGTATAATAAATTACGGAGTATTAATTATATAAAACTTGAAAATATTATATTGAAAAAAACTACTCTTTATATTTTAAAACTAGCTTGTTCTCCATCAATATCAAAAAAATCTAAAAACGACCTATTTCGATGTAAATCCATTTTTTAAGGAAAAAAAATCCTAATTTGCAGCTATTTGTAAAAAAAACATTTACTTAAAATATTTATTGGAATTACAAAAAAAATTCGTTGGAAAAGTATTTAAAAAGAGAGCTATTTAAGAAAATTACCATAAAAAAGAATTGAATATATATATGACACATGGCACATAATCATTGGACCACAAAACTAAAGAAATGAATGCATGAAATCCTTCTTCCCCCTCAAGCATCGGTGCTATGTGAAGCATCCCTTCTCTTTTTCTTTCTTGGGCATCTATAATGAGCACCCACCTACAACAACAGCATCTATCAACATCTCACTCTCTCTCCTCCTAGCATCTCTTGTGGGCATCCCATTGGAGATGGTCTTAGGGAGAATAGGGAAGAACCGCAGGTGGATCTCTTCTTCAGCTTAACCCTGAGTTTAATTAGCAGTTTAGTTTCAGGATTAAGACATAATTAATTGATTAATCAGATTTGTTCAGTTTATTTTCTATTAAAAACTATAAGTATTTTCAAAATGGTTTAAGTTAATTATTATTGTCTACGAAAAATATTTCAAATAACACACTAACAAAAACACACAAACAAAGAGGGACTCACAGAAGGCTCAAGCTCAACGACGACACCAAAGTAAAGCATAGAGAATAGACAATAGGAATAGAAATAAAATAAACGTAAAAAATCTTTTTAGAATTATCATTCAAACCCCTCATATCTCTTAGTTTTAGTTTTAGATTTTCGTTAGTTTTTATTCAATAAAAGTGACAAAGTAAATTGATTTTCATAGCCTAAAAAGTATCTTTCCTCGTGGGATCGACCCTTACTTGCCCTATCTATATGTTTTGATGAAAATTGAATCATAAAGGGGGTTAAAAGTTAAGGAAAATAATAAATTAATTTGTAGGTGCTACGACACGCCTAACATCTTCCTTCGGAGTATGCATCCCTCAAACAAAATGTTCAAACAAACATTACCAATCTCATGTTCAACAGGGTCTCATCATGGCTTCTCTCTGAAGAGCTCAATGTTCAACTAGAACACAAACTACAGATTGGTACCCCCTCCACGTCCAACACAGATGTTCATACCACTCTCTATACTCATAATCATGGAGGAGAATCACGTGGCCGTGGGCGAGGAAGACTGCCCAATTTCTGAGGAGGACGCATCGGTGGTAGTGGGGTCGAACCTCTTCTGACCGTAACATTGGCCGAGGTCGCGGTAGTGGTCCGCGGAATCCTTTACTTATTTGTCAAGTTTTTGGCAGGTTTAATCATGGAGCGTGGCAGTGTTGGGATCGTTATAATGAAGATGTCAATGGCCCTCCTCAACGAACAAACAATCAAGCATTGTACACTGTATCCCCTAGAGACTCTCATCTGGATTGGCACTTAGACTCAGGTGCATGTACTCATGTTACGACTGATTTATCAAGACTCCAAAATCCTATTCCTTATCACAGTTAAAATTCTGTTTTCATTGCTGGGGGACAATCCCTTCCGATTTCATATGTTGGCTCAGGTCAGGTGTCCACTCCCACAAGTACTTTTACCATATCTAACCTCCTTCATGTCCCCCATTTAAAAACTCACCTTTTATCTATCCACCAGTTTACCAAAGAAAATAACTGCTCTCTTCTTTTTAATTCAAAGGAATTTGTGATCTTGGACAACCATACCAACCAAGTGACATACAGAGGCCCATGTGAGTAGGGACTGTACACCTTACCTGCCACTTCTTTGACTTCGTCCAACGCGTATGCTGCAGCTCCGCTGATGACTCGTGCTTTGAAGACCACAACTCATCAGTGGCACTGTCGACTTGGTCATCCATATCTTGAAGTTACAAAATCTTTACTCTGTGAGTTAGGTTTTCATGTAGTGTCTAGTGCCTTTCATTGTGATTCATGTGGTATGTCAAAGTCTCATAAATTGCATGTGTTTTCCATTATCCACTACTGTTAATACTGCTCCTTTTTAATTAATACATTCTGATGTTTGGGGTCCTACTTCTGTCTCTTCCTTTGGTGGTTATCATTTTTATATCAATTTTGTGGATGATTTTACTAAATACTGTTAGATTTATCCACTTAAACATAAATCTGATGCCTTTAATGCCTTTCAAAGTTTTTAATCCATAATAAAAACTCAGTTTGGTCGGCCCCTCAAACTCATTTGCACTGATAATGGTTGTGAATATGTCAACCACAAATTTGGTCTCTTTTTACAAGCCTTAAGAGTTCTCCACCAAAAGTCCTGTCCATATACTCCTGAACAAAATGGGGTTGCTGAACAAAAACATAAACATCTCATCGAGACTCTTGTCACGCTTCTTTACACCTCTTCCCTTCCCACAACCTTTTGGGTAGAGGCTCTTTCCACTGTAAACTATCTTATTAATTGCATGCCCAAGCGTTCCCTCCGTTACAAATCCCCATATGAGCTTCTCTACGGACAGTCAGACACCCACCCGCCTACTCTCACCTTCGTGTTTTTGGCTGCCTTGCTTACCCACATCTTCGACATGAAATAGATCACAAACTTCAACCCCATTCCAAATGGTGTATATTTCTTGGGTATGAGTCTCTCTCCAAAGGGTATCGTTGTTATGACCCCTCAACCCATCGGGTGTACATCTCTCGTCATGTCCAGTTCAATGAGTCCGGGTTCCCGTACTCTAACTCTGGTTTGCAATCTCGTCCTCGTCTGAACCCTCCTATTTTTGCGTCTTGCCTCTCTTTCCCAATTTCTAGGTGTCTCCAGTCTTTGCTCATGTAGACCCGTTGTCTACCCAACACCCTAACCCCGTACCCATACCCACCCCAGATACCCTTCCCGACAATATCCCTTCTTCTATGCCCAACTCTGGTCAAACAACCCTCCCCACACACCTACCCACTAATCTTGTACCCATGCCCAGCCCAGAAACCCTACCCGGCACTACTCCCCACTCCAGTCAAATCACACTACCCGCAACACTATACCTGCCATCCCTGCCACCACCCACTCATCCCATGACCACTCGATCCAAGAGTGGCATCTTCAAACCCAAAGTATTTACCACTACCCTGTCCACTATCCCTCCGGAAACTGAGCCCAACACTTTTCGGGAAGCATCTAAAAACATTTTTTGGCGTCGTGCTATGAATGAGGAGTTTGATGCTTTGATTAAACAGCACACATGGGTACTTGTGCCTCGACCTCTAGGTCAAATTCCGATTGAGTGTAAATGGGTATATAGGGTCAAACGCAATGCTGATGGTTTTGTCGATCGATACAAAGCTCGCCTTGTTGCCAAAGGCTTTAATCAAGAGTATGGTCTGGACTATTCTGAGACCTTTAGCCCGGTGGTCAAACAACAGACCATTCGAGTGGTTTTTTCCCTTGCTGTTCGTTTTCAGTGGCCTTTGAGACAGCTTGATGTATCTAATGCTTTCCTACATTGTGAGGTCGATAAGGATATCTATATGACTTAGCCTCCCAGCTATGTTGATTCGCAGTTTCCCCATCATGTCTGCAAGCTCACTAAATCCTTGTATGGGTTGGAACAGGCCCCTCGTGCCTGGTATGAGAGATTCTTGGCTTTTCTCTATGCCTACGGGTTTTGCAAGAACGAGCATGACACGAGCCTTTTTATTATGCATGGATCTTTGGGCATACTTATCTTGCTTGTTTATGTTGATGATGTTATCGTCACAGGTAGCTCTACTAATCTTGTACAGGGATTCGTCACTAGCATGTGCTAGGAGTTTAACACAAAGGACCTCGGTGATCTTCACTACTTTCTTGGCTTGGAGATTGTTCGCACATCGTATTCTCTTGTTGTGTCACAAAAGAAATTTGCTCTTGAACTCCTTCATCGAGCTGGTTTTGAAGACTGTAAACCTGCCCCCACACCGATTTCTGTCCGGCCGAAGACCTCAGAGGGGGAATCTCCTCTCTTTCCAGATCCAACTCTGTTCCGAAGTCGCGTTGGTGGTCTACAATATCTCACAACTAAACGGCCTAATATTCAATTTGTTGTCAACTATGTGTGCCAACGTATGCATGACCCGACAGATGTCGATTTCCAACACTTAAAACGCATTCTTCGCTTTATTAAGGGCACCACTGATCATGGTCTTGTGTTTCGGCCTGGTGACTTACAACTCAGAGCATACTCTGACTCTAACTCGGCTAATGATATGTCTGATGGGAGATCGGTCACAGGTTATCTAGTCTACCTTGGGCCAAACTTGGTTTCTTGGAGTACGGAGAACCAGTCTCGCGTATCAAGGTCATCCACCGAGGCCGAGTACCATGCTTTGTCTTTGGCTGCAGCGGTGGTGATGTGGCTTACCTATGTCTTAACGGATCTCCGTGTTCCTCTCGCTACACCACAAGACTTGTGTGATAATCAGTCGGCAATTTGTCTTACCAAAAATCTTGTGTTTCATAAACGAATGAGACATGTGGGTACAGATTGTCACTTTGTTCGAGAACAGGTCATTGCTGGTACTATGGAGGTTTCTCATGTTTTCTCTGAAGATCAACTTGCTGATTTACTCACAAAGCCTCTTCCTTCACCACGTTTTCAGAATCTTGTATCCAAGCTTCCACTCGCTATACACCGTTCAGCTTGAGGGCGGATGTTAGGCAGTAGTCCTAAACATAGTATCACTTGCATTCAGTCAATCTCTAGGACTCCTATTCCTAGTTGTATTTGTATTGTCTCTCTATATATTCTCTACCATGTACCCTATTGTAATGTGTGAAATACAATTATCCAATTGTGTCAATAACATTCATATGAATGTCTATCAAGCAATGTCACATTAACTCTCTTGCAATTTGTGAATGTCGAGTTTTTAGCAACCTGTGATATAATACCCGTAACTTTGTAGTAACAATCACGCGCTATACTTCTCTCTCTCAATTTACATTCAGTGTTTACAATTCACATGATCAAACTTTAATCAGGTTTTTTAATTTATCCATTTTCGCTATCCATTTGAGAAGATAATACTCCGTATAATCTTGTCACCTTTTGTTGGGTACGTAAAACTTTTAATATTATTTTAAATATATGAATTTTATTATTTAATTTTGAACCAATTTTCAAATATATTAGAGTAAATTAACTTCAGTCAAATCTCGTAAACAACAACACACGATTTAAATTGAGATGGAGTAAAAAAAGGCAATAGAAATAATAATTAAGAAATGTTAGAGTCACAAACACAAGGTTATAAAATACACAATAATCTTACTATTTGTACTTTTTTCAAAATGGTTTACATAATTTAAAAGTAGAAATTTAAATCCACAAAAACCAAGTGTGTGTATTTTATACGCCTTGTCTTTGTGACACATCATTTCTCATAATAGTTACACGCAAACTGAAATTCAGGTGTTTGCCATTATATCACCATTCAAATATTAATCGGCCTGGTCCATGTGACATTGAACATCAATCTCATAGGATGACCCCAACCTCGTATAATACTTCGTTCAAAAATTGATGATTCCTACAATTCTACTCGCCTAACCCCCTCCTAAACAACCCACACCCAGCTCCTAGTAGGGCTGTTCATCGGTCCAAGATCAGAATGAACCGGACCAATTCGGACCGGATTGAAGACTAAACTGAATAAAATCACGGACCGAAGATCGGGCCTATATCTATTCGAGTTTGGATTGGATCAGACCGAAATACTTAGGACCGAAGGACTAGATAAAAGTACATACTCCGTATTTTTTTATTATTTTGACCAATTAAATATATCTTAGACTTTTTACTTTGTACCATTCAAACATAAAAAGAATAAAAAAAATAGGCAACCTAAAAATAGATACGCAATATAAACGCTTCTATGTAGAATTATAAAAACTAATAGGAAACATTTTTTTAGGATTTTTTAAAATTACTTAATAAAAAACTTTTTTAATTAAATAAATTAAGATATCTATTAAAATAGAACATCAAAGTGTAATACGGAACTTAAAAAATAGAGTTTTAGTATTTAGATCTTTTAGGTCACTAGGATCATTAGGTCCATTCGGTCTAGATCTAAATCATTTTGTATTTAGACCAGACCAGATCATAACCCGAATACCTAAATCCTCTGAACCGAAGACAGATCCAAAATCCATTCGATCTAGCTTTGGTCTGGACCTAACGGTCCAATTTGATCGGTTCTTTCGGTCCAGACCTGTGAACAGTACTAGCCCGTAGCTTCTTCTTTCACCAATTGGCTTCAGCTACAGATCGGTGAAGGAAAGGAGACTAGGAGTGGATTGTTGGAAAGAATTAGTGGATAGAAACCATTAATTCAAACAGCTCCCCATGCTAATATCTTAATCGAAAACTTTACATCCAAATTGCACATTTGCACGTCTCAAATATGTGATGGATTTGACTGAGTTGGTCAAATACGCGTAAAATTATCATTATTTTTTTTTTACAAAAAGGATAAATAATTATCTTTTTACTGCTGGCGCTGGGATTGTTTCCAGTGGTAACTGTTGCCAGATAATTAGTTTTGTTGGTCTTCCGAGTAACATGGAGAAAGTTAAATTTAGTCACTGTCAGTGTTATCCCAAGCAAGACCATCCCATTTCTCAATAAAGGATTGCACCGTCCATGTCATTTTTTTCCAGATAAAACAATACCACATTTCAAAAAACAAGGTAAAATATGAAGTTTTTTTAACTTTATTTTATTAAAATATTAGTATAGAAATAAAATATAAAATTTGCATATTTATAAATTACAGGAAAAATTCTTCGAAATAAGAGGTGTAAGAAATATTTTATTTTATCAAAATAATCAATGAAAACGTACAAATAAACAAAGTTCTCGTGAGTTTTGAAATATAAGGAAAAAGACCAAAGTATGACTAAAACATTAAAAATATATCAAAATAAAACTTCCATGTTTTTATTCCCGAAATAGGACTTACATTACCAAACATGGTCATATACATTACCAAAAACGTATAATAATGTGCACATGTACACTGCCACATTACCACAATGCAAAGTCACATTACCACAGTGCAAAATCCTATTTCGGGGGAAAAAACATGAAAGTCCTATTTTGGTACTTTTCTCTATGTTTTAGTCCTATTTAGGGTGATTTCTAAAAATATTTTGGGACAGGGAAGAATAATACTCGTATATTATACTCCCTCTGTCCACCATAAATCTTCTCATACACTATTCACAGGGTCAAACTTTACTCACTTTGTTTGCTCAATTTTACTAGTTATTTCATAAAATAATATAGTCTTGTCACCTCTAGTTTTGTAGAACTTTTCATGTAGTTTATTACTATATAAATTTTATTTTAAAATTTTACTCCTATAATCAATTGAATTGAAAATAAAGTCGGTCAAGCCTCGTAACGCGTAATGGGAAGATCATACATGGACGGAGGGAGTAATAATTACTCACTCTCACGGTCTTCTTATCTTTGCAGGTTTTGTGGAAGAATGTCTTTACTCCCTCCGTCCCAAATTATTTGTCACATTTCTATTACCGAGGCAAAATATCAAGTTTTTTCAATTCATTTTATTTACATATTGGTAAAGAAATAAAAAATAAAAATTACATATAAAAAAACTACATGAAAAGTTTTTCGAAATAAGAGGTGTCAAGAATATTTTATTTTATCAAATAACCAATGAAAACATAGAAATAAACAAAAGTTCCCGCGACTGTTGAAAAAGCAAATGTGGCAAATAATTTGGGACGGAGGGAGTATTATTTACAGACAAAATTTGTGGAAAAGAAAGACTGCGTTGGAGACTTGGGAGTTGTTCTTTCATAATTTTAAAGTTCACTTGTGAAATTCAAACATTCTCAAAGATTTCATATGCTGACAAATGATGAATTTTCATTTTTATAAAAGGCTTAATCTTTATGATATCAATGGATTATTATCCATAAAATGAATACAGATTTTAAAATCATGTAAGAATTTTCCTGCGTTGGAAATATTATCTACAAAATATCATACGATGAGACCAATATTTGTAGGATTTTTAGAAGAAAAAAATTACGGAGTATTTATTTATATGTTCCAATGTGTGTATGCATAGTTTTAAAAAGTAAAGGTGACATTTAGTAGATTTCAGCAATGAATCCAAGAAACGACATGACTTTATGGTCCTGTTTAGTACACGGAATTCAAAGTATGGAATTAGAATTAAGGACTTCAATTCCAATTCAAGTATTTGGTAGCACAAAAACTATGTGAATTTAGAATTGATAGTGTAACTGAAAATCCATAACCCCAAGTGCGATGGGAATGAATTGGAATTGGTAGAATTCATTTCTATGGAATTAAATTCCATGGAATTTCAATTCCAATTCAGTATACCAAACAGGCCCTAATGAAATTTTAAATATTTTAAATTTTTGAAAATTTTCACTCTTAATTTTTTTTAATTGGGGACAAAATTTGTTTGAAGTTGGAGCCAACCCACTAATTGGGGCCGACTTGCAAGCTAATTGGTTATAAGTTTAGGTCAATGAGAGGTGTTCCCTGTACTTGTACCATACATCTAGATGTATAATATTTCCCATATATCAAATTGAATACTTATATTCGCATAACACAATAGTCATTTTCAAGCATAAATGAATTTTTAAAAGGGCAAAGATCTTTAGACCTTGCAACCTCGAGTCATATTATGACCTGGAGCACCTACGGTGCTACGTTTCTAAAATTGATAGTTCCTACCCCCNCCCCCCCCCCGACATAAGAGCCATTATGTTATTAAAAATGGAGTATTCAGTTACTTAAAAAATGAGTATTCAATTGCTTGAGAATGAGTACTCATCGTGGATGCACGAGAAATATCGTACAACCAGTTGTACGGTATATATTGCATCCAAAAATGAGCAATAAATAAAAAACCGCATGCAATTTAAAGAACCACTTGCTTTATCCCATCATACCCCAAACCATCCTTTGTATTTAGCAGTTAAGAGTTTTGAACGATTCTTAAATAGAGCGCCCATTTGAAAACGTTAATACTAAAGACTGATGTATATTTGTTCTTTTTTTTCAAAATTCCAAAGCTAAGCAACTGCGGAAATAAATCTGCATTCTTATATTCAAAACAGAAGGATAAAGCCTATTCATCCAAGGAATGGAAATTCTGGCATCCCAAAGGGTATTCATCAAAGTGTTAAACTCACAATGACTTGAGAAGCATATATAGATGGAGTGCTGGAAATGAGAGTAGAGTATAAGTTTCTTTAGGTCATAGAGGAAATGAGCCTTTCATTGTCATCAAAAGTGATTGCTGGCGGACCGCTGATTTGCTTCCACCTGCAACATAACGCGAGACGACAATGAGTTGAAATAGTTTGTTAAGTTTCGTCCCGTTGCAGAACTTACATTGTACAAAACATTGGGACAAGATCCTAACTGAAAGCTGCAGATAGATACCATAGAACCAAACTGAATCAAATGTTTAGCCTATTCATTCTTTCAATTAGTATGTTATTTTTGAATAAAATTGTGCACTCTATCTATGCAGTGACAGATGGGAAGGCAATTTACCTCCGTAAGACGAATGTTTCATCACACAGGGCCTTCTCTAATCTCTCCTCAAATGGTGTTGCGTGCCAACTCACTTTCTGATCCTGCAACATCCACAAATTTCAGTAACTGATTCTTATTAAATTTCTTATATATATATTTTTTTTTAAAAAAAAAGAGGCAAAGGGTAGAAATCAAGCTAGGCAAACCTCTTTGTACTTTGTAGTAGTATTTGGAATTCCATTGGCGCCCCACCATTTAGGTGAGATATTAGAAGGGGGGCCATCATCATTCCAGTGAGCAGCAACCATCCCAAGTATAGGCCTGTCCCCTGGAGTTCCACGAATAGGAACACTTCCGCCTAAATGTAAATTAGTATCTTCCTGGTTAAGAGGTGGTTTCCACCATGAAGACTGACTGGCTTCCAACTTTGATTCCTCCATGGATGTGGTGGCTTCTCTGCCAATCACTGAGTCAAAGTTTGTTTCCTTGGGCTGTGCATCAGATTCTCCCATTCCACTGGGCGATTCCGTTGAAGTATTATCACAGTCTTGAAAGGAAGTAGAACCTTCACCCATCAATCCCTTCAGCTGAGATTCTTTTTCTGCCAGGTTTAAGGTGGAACCGACATATTGGCACCTGAACCGGGGAGCTTTTACATTTGGCATGTCCTTTGTGTATGATGGGAAAATAGTGCCAGGAGTTTGCATGTCATCAGTTAGTTTCAAGGGGGTTGGGTAGGGTGAATGATGGGGTTTCAGACGAGCTAGTTTTGAAGAAAATGCCTTTGCTGAAACTGAAGGGTAAGAATCGACCTCAAAACGAACAGATTTATTTATGCGTGTAGAACTAGGAAGAATTGCAGGTGAAACTGATGGATCAGAGTAAATATCAGCCTGGTCGAGATTAATCTCAATCGATGGACTGCCATGAATGGAACTGGAGGAACCAGTGCTCTTTCCCACATCCTTCATGCAGCTACAGTAATGAACAAACACATATTCAGAGCATTATGCAATGTATGTAGCAAGCATAAAGACTCATTTTTGAAGAAAAACATGGCACACGATAAAAAAATATTTGAAAACACACCCATTTAGTTTTGGAAATTTATAGACTCGCTACATATGGAAGTGGGACTAGAGTGTGACACATGAAGAAATCCATAAAATGGCAACTGTCATAAAATATATCTGTGCACTTTGAAATGCAATAAGACTATTAACTGAAAGTGCGGATTACCATGAAGCTAATACGGACTAATGGGGTCAGAATGATACCTAGCAGGAGTAACGAGAGCAGAAACTGAACCCTCCATCAATTTGTCACAGTTTTTGGAAGGTGTTAGAGGTTGTTCAGGATGTGAATGCAGGGTTTGGTTAACAACGGACATGTCAGGTTGCCAGGAGTTGTGATCTGAAGGAAACAATGCACCGTTCTGAGATGATGAATCTTCACATTCTTTTGATAATTTTAGAACTTCAACAGGGGTTTCAGGTAAGGTTCCACAAGCTTTGAGAAATTTAGCCTGCAGAATAAACCAGTAAGACCAAATAAAGAGTAGAGGCCATAGGAATCTTCATTTTCGACATTATGACATTGGGCATGTATTAGGATATCGAAAGTTTATTTCAGTATTTTAAATTAACATTTGCATAAGAATCCTAAAGTGAGTTATATAAGTAGCCTTACTGTGGATTCAACTTATCATAGCTTATACTTCTTCCGTTTCAAAATGGATGTCCTATGTGTGTAACATGAAAATCCCAAGCAACTTACAATTTCGTTATCTTGTTTAGCGTTAGTGAATAAAATCTATTGGTTTCAAAAGTCTACGGTATGTACTACTAAACACACAAGTAAATTCAGAAAATATTAACAAGTTCAATGAAAAATAAACAAGAAATGAAGAGTTGGCCAAAATTAGGGCATGAAATATAGGCTAAAATCCACCATTGGTCCTTCAACTTTATCAGTTGTGCACGATTGGTCCTTCAAGTTTCAAAAGTCCATAAATAGGGAATAATAATTATGTTAGAGGTAACCCCATGACCCACAACGCATTATACTTGGAGAAGTAATTTGAAGGATATGTGCCTGCGAAATATATGAAAAGGCCAATCAGGTACTATGAATTTTTCTCAGTAATACTGAAATTATTCATATGTGTGTTTTAGTGTTTACTCCCGGATATTGATACGGAGTATATAACTCTTCTAAGTTGTTTTTAGGTTTGTTTAGGTTTTTAGGTTTTAGTGTTTTCTCAGATATTGACTTAAAGCACATTATGCTCTGTGCTGCATGTTTACATTACTGAGAGCACCACAGTGAGAGTGAAATGAAATCAATACATTAGAACATGCAGGTGAAACTCTAACTATGACAACCAGCTTCCGAAATGCATCTATTCTATGAGCAAGCGAGTAAGTGAACGATAAAGTTTTCAGACAAATCATGAACCCTCAATGCATTCTCTATGGTTACTACTCATTTTGAATAATTCGGATTCATCACTTAGCTTGTTACACTCATTTGCCCATGGCACAGACAGGACATCTTCTCAAACATAATAAAGATGAATCCTTTGAAATGCTCTAAAGAACCACAGCATTGACACATTCAAGACTAAGAATCATGAATAAGGTCAGGGATGCAGATAGAATCATAGTAAAGGTAGAACAGCATTCAATTAAAAAAAGGATTGATGTTCACAAAAACAAAGAAAGAAAACAAGGTGAATCTAAGGAACATTGTTATATTAAACTAAACCGCATCATCAAAAACAGCCAAGCATTTTTCGGTTACAAACCTGGTGCTTGAGCTCTGTAATGTCCAACTCATGCGCAGAGATCACACTGTCATGTTTCTCCTTTGCCATGGCTTCCACGCCATATTCATCTTCTTTCTCTAAATAAGTTAATCAATATCAAACACATCCATCAAATTTACTAAAATAGCCAATTATCAATCTGAATTAACGTGATTTCCTCTACACATGTTATACCAATAAGAATGTAGAAATTCAATCATTTTTTACAAAAAAAATTACCGTCCGTCGAAATGAATAAAGAAGAAAACTGACTCCAATTGCAGTGCACTTCCTGATCACATGAACAAGAAAACAAAATTCAAAAACACATTCTAATCCCCGCATGGTTTTTTGCAGTTCAAATACTTTCAGTTGACGACTGGATCTCACTTCTATGTGCAATCGCGTATGAAATTTCAGGATGAAATTTTTGCCATTAAAAAAAATCAGAAACAGAGAAAGCGAAATGAACTTGCAGGTTGTGAGACGGTTCTGTAACGGGATCGATCAGCGGCAGGAGAATCGCCTCTGCCGCGGCTAACGCGGAAGCAGCTGAAGAAACACCCCATCGCCGCAGAGAGCGCCGCCGCAAAAAGTAGCCTGACGACGGTGAAGAGAGGGAGGCAGTTATCGCGAGCTCCGATGGCAGGCCACGACCAAACCATATCAAGAACAGTCCGATTGTATCGGAGCAATCGATCGAAACCCTAAAACTTTTAGATGATTATACTCCGTAACTCGCAAGCTTTTTTCAAGAGAGAGAGAGAGAGGGGTGAGATTGCCTGATATTTTAAAAATTCGAACAGGGCGCCAGGGAGAAGAGTGCCGTTTCTTTTTCTTTTTTTTGTTTTCTTACCTTTTTTTAACTTGTGAAGAAATTTTAATTAGAGTAGTGGGGATTGAATTTATTTTTAATTTACAGTAATTTATTTAAGATCACCAGATAATGTCTTCGAGTCATTTCGTATCTGGGTGGATTTTATGAAATGCATTTCATAACGGATTGTTCTCATAACTTGTTGGGACGACCCGAACTCGATAACACTCGAGGTCGAATTTACCCGAATCTGAAGGAGACGAACTTGACCTAACCAACCGATTTGCCAGCTTTAAATACAAGTACATATCTTTTCTATTTAGTAATGTACGGAGTAATGTTCTACTTTATCCGTCCTAAAATATTGTACACTTCACGCAAAATGAAAGGAATTTTTAAAATTTCTTAATTCATTTATTAAAGGTTGGGATAGAAATTAAAAATAAAACTTACATGGAGTATTTAAAAACTACGTGAAAACTTTCACAATACAAAAAATGACAAGAATATTTTATTTTATTAAATAATCAATCAAAAGGCACAAATAAACAAAAAAATCCAGTGACTTTTGAATAACAAAGAGTGTGTTTTTTTTTGGATGGAGGGAGTATATTATTTTCTATTTGTATTGTATAATTTATTGGTTTGTAGATTTTAAAATTAATTACATGCTCAATTTAAAATGATTTATTGGTTTGTAGATTTTAAAATTATTTACATGATTAATTTAAAATAACTATTTAATAATGATAATAATAAGTTAACAAATTGAGATAGGGGAGTCGGATGACATTAGTCTCTCTTGTCATCCTATTCCTATGACATGATCCTAGATTGGAGCACTTAGGGACGTTACGGTGTTCTGTATAAAAAATTGATGGTTCCTACTCCTCCAAAATTTACGGTGCTCCATTTAAAAAATTGATGTCATCCTATATATTTGTATTTAATTGTAATGGGTTGACATATATCTATTAATTTAAGGAGATCTTACATTAATAGAGAATCTGTACATATAATATACAATTACAAGGATATAAAATAGCAAAGAAATAAGAGATACTAGTATATGTCAACCAATTACAATTAAATACAAATATATACGGAGTATATTAAATATATTCCCGATCCTATGTAGGTAGTGTATGTTATGTTGCTCAACTTGATAGCTAGCAGAGAAAAAAAAAATCGCAGTAGATTTTTTTTGTTTATGTTAGAATATAAATAACTGTTTCTGGGCCACAACCACAAGCTTGAGCTTTTGGTTGAATTGTTTCCTTGACATGGTATCAGAGGCTCTCTTGACTAAGAGGTCACGGGTTCGAAACTCAGCGTCACCCAATTTAAAATAAACTAAGGTTTCACGTGCAAGGCTCGAAAATGACTACGCCTGCACGTGAGGGGGGCATGTTAGAATATAAATAGTTGTTTCTGGGCCACAACCACAAGCTTGAGTTTTTGGTTGAATTGGTTCCTTGACAGTTTATTAAGAACATGTCCCTACACCAAGTTTAGAAAGTAGATTTTTTTGTTTATTAAGAACATGTCTCAATTAGTTTCAATATTTGACTAATAATTATTTTAATAAAATCATTTTATATCAATCTTTAATGTCAATTTTATTTAGCTTGAAAGTTTTAATAATTTTGACAAAAAAAATTAAAGTGAACAAATACTCAGAATTTAATGAGCATTTTAAAAAGTGCTATATGCGAAAGGCTTTGAAATTTGTCCATACAAAATTCCGAAAAAGTAATGATGGATATGAGTTTATTTGAGTTTATTGACAAACTGAATTACGTTTTAGAAATATTGTTTTTTACGCGTCTTGTGTTAAAAATTTACCGAATAATTCTTAATTCAACATTGATTATGAAATAAGTTAGAATATAAAATCATTTTAATTTGGCACTGTATATGTGCACATTACTATATTTTTTTTGGTAATGTACATGACCATGTTTGGTAATGTAAGTCCTATTTCGAGATTAAAAACATGAAAATCCTATTTTGGTATATTCTCAATGTTTTAGTCCTACTTTGGTCTTTCCCCCTTTGGTTTTTGTTAGAGAAGGACAAGGAATATTAGTATTTGATTTGTATTAGACTTGTATATTGTAGTTTCCTTTTAGCATTCCTAATCCTATTAGGAATCTCTAGATAGCTATATACCCCACATTGTATTGTACATAATCAACAGAGAATACACTAGATTTTCAGCCCAAAAGTACTTCTGCGTAACATGGTATTAGAGCTGCTCTAAAATACCTATTCCTTCGTGTGCTACAGCCGCACGTTACCCATCCAGCATCATACGATCTTGTTTTTTTCCTTTGCACGGTGAACGCACTCCCTCCAGCGAACAGCAAGCATGGCAGGCGAGGCAACCCCAAAGGATCTGAAAGCATCACCGAAGAATCATGTGGACGAGAACGACGACGACATGATACAAAGACGCCGTCGCATATCACCCTACGATCTCTCACCCAGCGACAATCCGGGTATGCTTCTGACCCAAGTTGTTCTTAAGGGACCAAACTATGACGAATGGTCCAAATCCTTGTGCCTTGCCTTACGGGCTCGCAAGAAATTTGGATTTGTTGATCGATCAATACCACATCCGGATCCAGACTCAGACGACTTGGATGATTGGTGGACCAATCATTCGCTTATAGTGTCATGGATACGCAACACGATTGAACCATCGTTGCGATCCACGATCTCTACGGGCGAGTCTGCATCCGATCTATGGGACGAACTGAAGGCGTGTTTTTCGGTTGTGAACGGACCTCGCGTCCAACAACTGAAATGTGAAATATCCGAATGTAAACAAAAGGGACTCAACATGATGGCCTATTATGGCAAGTTGAAGAAATTATGGGACGACTTAGCCGACATCGACAAATTCCCAGATTGCGTTTGCACAGATTGTGAGGGCAAACATGCGGCAGCCTTAGCAAAGAAGAGAGAAGAAGAACGGGTTCATCAGTTCCTTATGGGGGTCGACGACACCATGTATGGCTCCATAGGGTCGCAACTTTTGTCTCAAGAACCACTGCCCACTGTCGCCCGAGCCTACAATATCTTGATTCAAGAAGAGACTGCACATGCTTCGATCCGAGGCATTGGCGACATTGAAGTCACCGCGGCTGCCTTTGCTGTGAAAAAGAGCGACGAAGCTGATCAAATCTGCGGTCATTGTAAGAAGAAAGGACACCAAGTTGACTCATGCTTCAAACTGCACGGATTCCCCGAGTGGTGGCCGCCGGGGAATGACCGCGGGCGTGGCAGCAACCGTGGACGTGGCTCCGGGCGTGGGGGAAATCGTGGAGGCCGCGGCGGAAGAGGAACAGATGGGAAGGGCAGCGGACAGACGGCAGCAGCTCACGCCGTAACTGCTGGCGACGGAGGATTGTCCAGCCTCCCAGACTTTGAAAATCATAAAGCAACCGTGGATGTTGCTTTATGATATTGTGGATATGCCATCTTGTGAAATTGGGTTGCCAGACGGAAAGAAAATTATATCGGTTCAATCCAGGAAAATTAAGTTAACAGACACATTGACTTTGTTGAATGTTTTGCTTGTTCCCAATCTGAGCTGTAACTTGATCTCGGTTTCCCAGTTGACAAAAGAATCTGATTGTGAGGCCTGATTCTCTGCTAATACTTGCATGATACAGGACCTAAAGTCGAAGACTTTGATTGGTGTGGGTGAACAGGATGGTGGACTTTACTATTTCAGACCGATGGAGGACAAAGTGGCGTTGAGTGCAAAGCGGGAGAGCAACTTTGATCTATGGCACAAGCGTCTCGGACATCCTTCACCTCGAGTCTTATCTTTAGTTCCTGTAGTTGGTTCCATTAAAGATAGTAGTTTACAGAATAATTGTTGTGATATTTGTGTGTTAGAATAGGTGCCCTTCACTAGAGGGGGGATGAATAGTGAGGCACGAGAATGTTTATAAATTTTCGCGGAATAAAAATCGCAGGGATAAAGTAAAGAGCGGAATAAAAA